TGGGGACACACATTTATTGCTGCCAGAGGCAACCCTCACCCCAACCCCTCCCTCCGTTCAGGCCCGCTTTGCCCTTGAGGGTGCATTCCTGCCCTCGCCGCCGGCCGCGCGTTTCACCCCGCTTCCAGAGGCAGCCCCCGATGCCGTCAACGGGCCCCCAGGTGTCGCCACTGGCACAGATGCAGACCCCACCCTGCCGCTCACTGATGCGCCCTCGGGATCCCCGGCCGGCAATAGCCCTTCAGATGCCCCAACAGCTGGCAGTTGTTGTAGGTCCATAGCCCCTCTGCACTGGGTTCCAGATCCGAGTCCCCCACGTCCCCTGTCCCCAAATGCGCAAAGTCAAACAGGTCCGGGAGTGGGGCGCTGCTGCCAACAGACGCCCCCTGGCCTCCCCCCCCTACCGCTGCCACCGCCATCCCCGCATGCCCGGATCCCTCACCTTGGGGGGTGGGGGAATGCCTTTCCGGGCACCCCTCTGTCTGGCCCCGGGCATCCCCTACCGCAAACCGTGGGGGGCCGCCTTGGTGACGTCGGGCCAGGGGCCGTGACTCCCCGGCCTTCACATGCTGCCGCCGCTGCGTCTGCTTGGTCTTGCCACCCATCACAATAGGCGCAAACTATGCTGCAGGGGGTCAGGGGCACCGCGTTTGTGGCCCACGCATCGAATCTCATCGCTGCATTCTTATTGGTCCATGCATGAATTTGATGTTGGTATGTACTATGGAACAACCTCCGGAACGGGTTCTAGGATGGCCTGGGATGGCCTTCGGAACGGCCTGGAACGGAGTCTAGACCGGCCTTGGGCAGTACAAGAATGGACTTCTAGGTAGGCTGTACTGCGCTGGAATGGAATTGGGATGGTTGGACACCGTTCCAGATCCGTCCCAGTCCGTTCCAGCCCAAGGACGGACCCATCCCTGGCCGTTCCTGGGCCTGCCGGCCCAAGGATGGGGACTCGGATGGTTCCCATCCCCGTCTCCGTTCCTAGATGGCCCACCTCTACCCCCACATCAAGCCAATGTGCATAACAGTGACCCCATGTGGGGGCTTGATATTTGTTTGATGGCGTTGATGATTGGAAAAATCAAGGGTGATAAGAGTAGGGGCGTGGTGGTGGTGGCGCCACCTTTTTTCTTTGTCCTGATGTTGTGATGTGACCCATATAGAAATGGACGGACCAATTGTCGGTAAGTCTTGCAAACTGTTGAATGTGACATGTGAGAGTGCGCGCTAGTGTGTGATAGCCCAAACCTGTTGTGGAGGCTTACAGGACGCAGGGAGTGCCATGCCATGAGCAGGAGGGTGAAAAAGATGCCGGGGGTATTGTCGCATGTAGCACAGGACGTGGTGCATACATGACAACTTTCTTGGGCGTGCAGTGGTACCTGCAAGACCTGCATGTATGCCTGGTGTATGTGAGTGTTGGTATTGTGTCCCATCTCCTGCTTGTACCTCTTTGTTGCTTGTGGCTACTTGGTGAACAACTCCTTGGAGCAATCAGTGCTGATCTAGCAAGCATCCGGCTGGGATCAGCAGCCATCAACAACCAAACAGATTCTATTTTTGGCTTTGTGAATTCTTGCTTATTTTCATATTGCTAGTATTGTTCTTATTGGAAGTGATTTGTTGGTGAGGAACTGGCCAAAAGTTCGGTTGAATGTGAGCAACTGGCTGTTTTGAGCCCTCATACACCTTTAGGAATAAGCGAGTGAAGTAGCCAAGTAATCAGTAGATTGGTGGCCCCTGGCACTTGGAACTATTTGCTATTACTGGTTATGGTATGTAGCCTAAGTGGATTATGTTTGGAGCCTGTGTGCTAGCATTAAAATTGTCTTGGCAGCGAAAGTAGCACATACATTAGCGCTTAGTCACAAAACCTTTTTACCCATCTCTGCCAGCTGACTTGGTCATAAAACAAAATGGTCAGGCAACACCTATAGGTTGCAATAACCATTTGATTTAATTTGGCGGCTGAAATGATGTGCCATAAGAACTAACAAACCGTATTGATAATCCACATATCCATTGGCTAATTGATGAGTGTGTACCTGGTAACAACCTTGATCACAACCAGTGGGGTTGATTTGTTGGGTCTTTGAAGTGGCTTGAAAAGGGCCGCTTTAATATAAATCCAAGATGGCAACAAAGTGATGGGTGTCAAATAAATTGAATAGAGTGATTGATGAGACGTTACGTAGGGAATGGTTGCGGTCGCCTGATATATTGGGGTGAATGTGGATCAAGTTCAATTCCAAGGTGACCTGTGAAAGTGATATTGGCTGAGAAGTGATAGGTTGACAAGGAACACTCAGGAATTGGTCTGAATCAAGCATGTTGAGACCTGACAAATGATGGGAAAGGCAAGGGGGAGAAAGGTTGATCAAGAGATGATCCCGAACATTCAGGAATCTTCCTTAGAGTCATTGGAGGCGGCTGGGGGTGCACAAGGGGTATAAATAGAGGGGTTGTGCCCCATTTGGACAACCGGGTTAGGTTTGGCTTTGAGCCCATACACAAGGAGGCCAAGGAAAGGAAGAGCCTCAATCTTTGTGAAACAAGTTGCAATCCATGGAAGATTGTGTTGAAACTGAGTTTTGGATCAAATTCTTTGTACAGTACTTAAAGGTGAAAATATGTTAATGCTAATCTATTGGGAACTGTGAAGCCTAAGGCCTCGACTATTTGGGAAGCCTACAATGTCCCAAGCTAGGCCCAGTACTCAGTAGGAACGCCTTCGCGGCCCCTACTAAATTATTAAAGTGACTGATCAGGAATTGGATTTGGAATCATTTACAAAACGTCTAGTTATGGTTCGTTGAATTGTACATCGAACGCATACCCTTTAAAGGGGTGTTCAACCATATTGACCTAGAAAAGAACGTGTGTGTGGGTCCAACAGGACCTGAAGGTGAGCACCTTAAAGGGTAGAGTTAAAATAGTGTTGCATACTTCGGTAAGTGTCGCAAGTATACGAAGGGAATCTCTGCCTCACAGAGGTCCAATGAGGTGCGAGCCAATCCAGAACACTATTTTGAGAACATTGAAATTCGATTACACATTATTGCACGTTGTGTTGAATCCTGCCCATAGTCCTCATCTAGGTCATGAGCCAACCCAGGAAAGATAACGAAAACCACACAAAACTCTGTGAGGCAGAAACCCCTCCTTCAAAGCGTGTCAAGACCGAGTGCTAGCCAGCTCTTGCCAAGGTTGAACTACAAGAAAGAACGCGAGAATTTCAACGACAGCAGGAATCAGGTTCGAGAGCTGCAAGAATATTGGAAGGAACTGCCCAAGGAATTCGTTGACAACTGAATTGTACGAAGGTGTGTGCAAAGCGAATAGCAAACTGGACGTCAGAGTACATGCAGATGACATGTTGGTATCTTTGGGTAGTGTTCATAGTCCTTGAAACAATACCAATGACTGGCTGGGCGTGTTCATAAACACTAACCAACTATTCCAACTTTAGAAAGCGGTTGGTGCTGCGTTACTTACTGTGGTTTGTATCAATCTATTTGCCTATGGCCCAATTCTGACCATGAGGCTTGCTAGGCTAGTTCAGAAAGTGAGTGAACTGGTCTGGCGCATCTTTTGCTCTCCAATGTGTGGTGAGTCATTGCAGCTGGCCAATTTGGCTAGGGAACTTGTACGGGTTAAAGGTCAGTTGCGTTTCCTGTGGAATTCGGAGCGCATAAGGCACGGGCAGCTTAGGCAGACGGACGGAACAACATCTATCGCGTCGCAGCCTGTGACAGGACTCATTTCCAGCTCAGTCAGCTGCCCTAATCACTTTCAACTTCTCTGCACATTTGCGCTTGGGATTGTAGTGGGTTGCTGCGTGCCACCTGGGTGCCTTTGTCTGGGCGTTTGGATCGGACGTTCGCTCTGACTCATACATACGTGGCCGTGACTCACCAGCCATAATCGGCAGGCACACACGATGGCCATTGAACATGTTTACACTGGGAACTCCTTTCCTTCGTTTCATTTCGTTTCTGCCTGTGTTTGCCAGACATTTACAGGAGCTGTTGCCGCCATTTTCACGCTATCCAACTGGGTGATGTGCACAATAATTACCCTGGATATCAACGCCAACTTGACGCCAAATTTGACAAAATCGCCATAGCGCCCTTCACAGTAAGTGTTGGCAATTTCGATGAATGAGCACATTGAAATAGTGGGAGCCATGCCAACCCAGGATTTGTCAGCAGAGGCCAATATCTCGAAATCTTCAACAGCCAACACTGTGAAGTTGGGTGGAAACGCTGCCCTACAATGCGGAACCCACACTTTTCCACGTCCCTACGCCATCGCTGTCAGGCAAATAGGCTTCACAGGTCATGGCTACTTGGTCTTCAACCACGGGCAGAAAAGTGGCCATTTCATAAAAATACGATCCATGTGTAAGCCATGCTGCACTGTTGAAATCTCAGAATAGCGATGAACAAGGTTTTAAATGGGACCAGACTGCATAGTGTAAGCCGTGCTTGGGGTCCATTTCACCAGTGGACTGAAGCAGTGTACGTGCGCTAAATACAAGTTTCCAACTATGAGTTCCAAACATCTGCTCCAGCACCACTCGTCCCGGGTAAAGTCTCCCGCTTATCTGAACAGCTACATGTCGTGAACCACCACATCCATCCTACCCGAGCTAATCATAACTAACCAGCATCTCCCACAAGCCGTGGGCGACAGAGAACCACAACAGCTAAATGCAAAAAATACAGTCCCTTACATGTCATCTGATCATTCGAACATTATGCTCGCCCGGGGAGATGACCCCACCATTTTATGACGGCGAGATACACACATCCTTCCGCCAGGCTCCGTTGGGGACGAAGATCCACACGCGTCCCAAGCCAACTTTATACGCCTGTCACCTCGGGGCGCCCTTCGCTCCAGTAAGACAGGGCTGCCGGTTCCACTGCCCAACATCCATACGGGCATAGACCTCTTATTGTCACACAACCCCGTGAGGCATCTCAGCGAATCTCTTAGATGTCTCCCCTGTCCGCCACTTTCTCCAGCACTTCTTTCAAGTGCGCCTGGGTGAAGCGAACCCGCAGGGCCGGTATCCTGTGGCCGCGCTGCTCCCGCAGGGCATCCAGCGAAGCCCTCACAATCTTGGGGGCAGCGCCTCCTTCCCTGAGCAACAGTTTATTTTCTAACCCCAGCAGTGGGACAGAATGTCGACCGCCATCGCGCGACCGTGTCCTCTTGTGCGCCCTTCGCACTATGCGCTTCTTCTTGGTCGCCACTTGCTGCTCAGCCGACCGCTGCGGTGAGGGGTGGGGCGAGCGGTGTCGTGGCCTGTTAGGCCGGTTCTCAGCTTCCCCGTCATTCAATGGGCTGAAACAAGCAGCAGGATCAAGTGAGTGCTAAGGCTGACAACCAGAGCTGATGCCGCAGACAATGATCCACCAAATGGCGCAATTTGGGGCTGGGGCACTTCCACTTCCACTATTTGGGCAGTGGGATTTGTCATGCTTTGAGCCTGTCCACTGAGCCTGTCCGAGCGCTGCAAGGGAGGCAGGCAGTGCAGTCAATGGTGCAAACAGCTAGGCACATTCCGCTGGCAAGCCAGGGTTGTGCAGCAAGCATATCTTCACATTGTGGAAAGGGCCCAAGGCTTACCTGCCCCTGCCTTCTGCCGCAAGGTCGCCAAATGGTTGCCTCTTGTACACGTCGAACTTGGCAGCATTCTGCCTGTGTCCGGCACCACGCCTCGTCCTGTCCAGCCTAGTGCGCACCCTGCGTTCAGTTTTGCGATTGAACTTATCATCACGGCCTTGTGCCCTATCAGCAGGTGTGGGGGTGACACGCCTGCCGCGAATTGGCGACAAGCCAGCCGATGTTGCAGTTGCAGCTCTGTCATCGTGTTGCTCAGCCTCCTCCACACATATCCCAACAAATGAGGAAGACAGCTCCTGCAGCCGTGTGGGTTCCTCTTGGCTGTCTCTTTCCACATGGATGGCCATGGATGGCTCTGCCTCTGGGGAGGTGTCTCTTGGGGGCATGCTGGAGTTCTCCTCGATTTGGAACGACTGCCTTTGCCTAACATCAACAGGCACTGCCTCCTGGGGAGGGAGGCTCCTGCTCGCCGAACTTGATGGCTGTTGAAATGGTGACACCACAGCAGCTGTTTGCCTCTGCACCGGCTTTACCACATCAGCGTCAGCCCACACATTGCAGTCTTGCCCGGCATGTGAATATTCCACAGGAGAAGCCCTGAGAAAGGGATTATTTTGATTCCTATATGCACTCTCGTTCTGCTTATGACCTCTGATTCCAGAGGGCCCGGCATGGCCTGGCAGGTTCACATACGCATCTTCGTCGGCCCTCCTTGGGGATTGCGAATGTGGCTCCATGCCAAAATTACGCAAGTCCTCCTCCATTTCCTTTATGTTTGCTCGGGCTGTGGCGTAGGTTTCAGCAGGTCTGGAGAAGGTTATGGTATCCTCAGGTAACAGCTGTGGGAAGTTCTCCTCCACAGGCCTCCATTCCGAACTTGGCTTATGTCTGGGGTCGACAGCCACTGTAGCCAAGCGACTGGAACCATGGATCGCCTCATAAGAGTAACTCTCTTCGGCAGTGGCCATCGTTCTCATCTCCAAGTCGATCCCAAAGGGCGTCCCTGACTCGTCTGTACAGCAAGACACAGGAGTATGATCTGTTTCATCGCAGGTCCCAGCATAGTCCCCAGATCTTTGGTCGTAGCACAAATCTTGGCCAGTTGGGGTGTTGGGCAGCTTTAGCATCCTGGGCGTGCGGGGTGTGCGCTTGCGGGGAGTGGCGGAGTCTGCAGTGTGCAAAGCACGGTTAAAGTTTTCAACAGCAGTGCATGAGTTGGGCGATTCTTCAACAGACTTTCTGTGTATCGTCGTAGGGGCCACGACTGAGACAGAGCGTCTCACAATGGCCGCTGTGTCTGGACCTGGACATCCACAAAAAAATAGACTCAACGACACATACGAACGTTGTATTTGTTGCCAATGCCTCTGAGATATGCATCGCTAAATCAAAGCACAACAATGCTCCAGCTCCAATCCCACTTCACGTGGGATTTCATCATTATCCACAGTGAGCAGCAGCAGATAGTAGTACAAGGGAATGCAGCAACCAAAGGTAGGAGCTGTTGGGGCCACCAGCCACACCTGGCATATCCACTGCAAAGGGGAGGTAGCAATACCATCAATCCACCCCCCACCACAAGGCAAACAGCAGAATGCCTGTGGCGACAAAGGGATGCTACCCTCACCTGCTGTGTGCACAGAACGGGACTGACCAGACACCTGCCGCTCTAGCTGCTTCCACGCCTCCACAACGTGTTGGACTTCATCATCGGCTTCCAGCAATTTGGTGAGCTTGCTGCTATCCAGTGTGAGGTTTGTGTGTTTTGAGGTGGCCTGTCGGGTGCCAGTCATCATGTCTGCTGCAATGCTGTCCATTTGGGATGCTACCAACTCCTGCAGCAGCAGCACACATGGGAAGCTCGGACTGACATTATGTGCTGTGTCCTATTGTGAAAAGCATTGCCGTGAAACAATTTCGATCGAATCTTCTAGACCATCAGGTTGGCTCTGAACAAATTGAGCCAAAGAGTGACATCTTGTCTGCCCACTGGCTGCACTTCGACACACTGGTTACACAACCACTGGACAACCAGCACAGTGTGTCACCCTTACCAAAGAGGCATACCTGTGCCCAATTGTGCCATGTGATGACCTTCTTTGCAAGGGGCTCTGTTGCCGCCATCATTCCAGAAATGTCTGACTCTGAGCCCCCAGACTCTCTCAGAGTCTCGATGCTGCCAACCACCTCCATCAAATCACTAGCATCCACTGGCATTCTGGCTAACATCTCCTCCACCTGTGCACAGAAGCACAATCCAGGCAAACATAAGGAACGCAACAAAAAACTGGCATCGAAGATAATGTTGCGTCCACGGATGGTAAAGTACAGCCCTGATCCAGATTGTAAGTCATGTCTCCATTTCAGCCCATTGCAGACGCTAACACTGGCCATGTGCCAAATAGGTACAGAAATAAGTTGGTGCAAGCTTGGGATGACCACACCATAACAACATCCATTGATGATGGGCCATGTGCTGCCAGATACACCTTCCTCAATAGCCCACCATCGGATATCGAAGAGAACGTGCAATGCAAGTCTTACGCACCCAGGCTGGTGTTTTGTCCTTTTGCTTGTTTCCCCATCGACTGTTTCGTGGATTCTCTGTCTGCAGCGACATTGTCTCACGCATTCGCACAGGCGTCGATGGCGCCCTGGAGAACAGCCTCTTCAGTTTCGACAACTTGGATCCCCGTGTGGGTGCTGAGTCGCCATTTTCATTTTGAGAACCGCCTATAGGACATTAGTGCATCGGATGAGCCACAGCAGCTATGTGGAAGAGGAGAAGCAAGTCACACAAAGACCAAAGGATGCACATGTGTTGGGAAAACTCCTCTCATACCAAGTGTGTGAGTCTTTCCTGCCTCTACACAATGCAGAATTCACTTCGTTCCACTCGTCAAAATCATGACAGAACAAGCACTCACTCCTCGGCAGGAGATGTTGCCTAATAACAATTGTAGACAAGTATGAGAGGCACACACCAACAACGTCTTCTGTGAGGGCAGTGCATTGCCAACTGCTAACAATTGCAGCAAAAGAGCATTTCTAGACACAGGGAAATCTGTGTTAAGTAAGGCAGCACAATGCACTGGGCAAGCCGCAAAATGCTAGCCTTTCAATGCCATACAGGTAAAAGGGCGATGCCTCCAGAGAAGACTCATCACTATCATGGTCCACAGCAAACCACAGCCACCAAGCTCATCCATGTGCACAAATGTGCTGCTAGTGGAACAAACCTGTGCGCACATCACCAGAGGCAGTGGAGGTCGGTGCTGCAAAATCCATGCCAGGCACAAAGCGCAGGATGGGTGCACCAAGCATCATCTCCTCCCGCCGCACAGTGGCCACCCTTGTGGCCCGCAGGGCAGGGGCACCCTTTGACCTCAGGTGCTTCATAAGCCGCGCGCTCTTTTGCCCAAGTTCTTCATGGCTGCAACACCAATAAGGAGTTGATGAGAGACTCTTGCCAGGATTCCGACATGCCCTTGTGAAACAGTTGTGAAATGTGAAGGCCTCGAGGCAGGGAAGATACAGTGAGAACTTAGAGCAGAAGATCCTGTTGCTCGCATTGTGGCAGGATAGAGGGGAGTGGACGACACTGGTAGCACACCCATGCAGTACTCATGCCCATATACTCCCTACACTGAATACTCATTGTCCTGGAGTGTAGAATCACTGCAGCTGGCAAAGTTGAAGGGCCAGATGTGCACTTCACAACATTGCTCCACTTGATAGGCTGATGAGGGATGTTGCTCCATGCAGAATGGCAAGGAATGCCATTACAGTCAGCAGACTCTGCACCCAGCACTGGGTGCGTTGGAAGTACCCTGGCGCCCTTTAACACCTTCACTGGAAGATTCCCTCAGTGCTCCACGAGCAGCTGGTGACACAAATTCGTTGATTGGACGCCGTTCCCCTGCTGCAATCCCAGCTCGCTGGATTGGGGAACGAATTTCATTGTGCTTTTCGAAGTTCTCGGTGGTTTTCATCTTGTCTTGACAGCCAGGAAGCCAAGCCGAATGGCCCGAAACCAAGTTCAGCGGCCCCAATACTACGCAAAGTTGAAGTGCCAAATTGTTCTTGCGCCCACTGGCGCTTTTACCCGCGCCCTGACCGCACCTCGGCAGCAGAACACAAGGCGGCGCGGCCGAGCGGCCACAGGTCTGACCTGAACATGAACGTCCAGTCCACGAGCATCTGACAGACCGCCGCAGCGGCCAGCTCGGCGCAGAACGACGCGTACACCTTCTCCAGCAGCTTGAGGTGCTTCGTGTTGGACAGCTGCCTCCGGACCTCCAAGGAGCCGTTCAACGAGATGGTGTGCAGCACCTGCGGAGGGAAGGGGGGGGGGGCACGCGGCACAGCGCAGCAGCTCGTCAGCGACCCCTGGGCTGGCGCCACGGCCGCCGGGCGGGTTCGGCAGGACGCGAACGGCGCGGCAGAACCGCGAGAACGCCCTGAGCGTCAAAGAGTCGTCCGAGACTCCCGACACAAGGTGCCCTGGACCAGCTGGGGAGATTCTGGTCCCCAAGTCACCGCAGGTCGGCCCCGCTGCCCAAGAGATTGGCCCCAGCGGCAGCGGCCCACCCTGTCGAAGGGAACGAGGGCACGGGCACCCTTGGGGCGTTGCCAGTTACGCCCATGACTAATACCGCGAGCATCGACCGGCCTGGCGCCCATCGGCGCGGCGGGCGTCGAAGGAGCGCGACGGGCGGGTCGGGCTGGCGGTTGACGGGGAGGGGGCGCGGCACCCACCGTCAGCGTGTTGAGCACGATGGGCTCCTCCCCGCAGGTGAGGCGCGACTTGAGCGAGTACCGCAGGTGCTTCGAGATGCTGTTGGCCTCCTGGACCATGTTCACGAGGCGCGCCACGCTGCTCCATTGGACGCCGCCGGACGCCTTGTCCAGCGCGGGCAGCAGCATGGCTTCCCGGCCCCCGTCGGGCCTGCTCATCTCCCCCTCCGCGGTCGAAATGGAGGCGCTGCTGTCCGCGCACCCGCGGACGGGCGCGAGAGGGGCCACTGATCCTCTGCGCCAAGGCCGCACACAGAAGCCTTCAAGAGCGATCACTCCCATCCGGTTGCCGATCGGATGGGCGGGACCCTGGGACCACCCCGTGGGACTCTGTCGGGGCTCCCGTACTGCGCAACGCCTCTTTCGGTACCCTCCTGATGCGCCGCCCCCTGCCCCGTCGGCCGCCGCTTCGCTGGGCGACGCGGTCCTATCGCACAAGGCCCAAGCGCCCGGCTCCGCCCCGGCCTTGGCGATCGGCGCGGACGGGGCCCAGCTGTGGACGGAGGCCCACGGGCGGCAACCGACAGCGCGGGCGCGACGGGGACAGCATCGCGCGTAACAATAAGAATGCACACCGGTCAGCGCGACCCTGCTCCCCAACCACTCCCCGCAACCGCCTTTCGCGCGCCCGCGGCTTCCCGACACAGCGATCGGCCAAAACATGGACGGCATCAGCTCCGCCAGCCCGAGGGCTTTCAACCGGGCGCCAGGGACTCCCACTGAGTCCACGGAGCGCCCCCGCGGCGCCACGGCCGCCCCCGGACACCAACGGACGGACCCATCCGCAGCCAAGGCCGGGCTCCCCGCAACCGCCGCCCGCGCGCGGCCAGCGTGGCGCGCCCCTCACCAGGCTTGCAAGCGCCCCTCGGACCCGGGGCCAGCGCGCTCCGCCGCCGTGACGCGCCCTGTCATCCACCTCCGGCGCCTGGAGGGCCCCGCCGCACGGGGGCACGGCGGTCTGCGCGCCTCACAGCGCGCGCCTGGGCCGGCCTGTCTACGCCCGGCACCCTGCGCCTCCCCCGCCTAATCCCTGGCCCGCACGGCGCCTCGGTCAATGGACTGGCCCTCTCGTGCCGCTCATCGGCCGCCGGGGGGCCCCGTTCCAAGGGGAAGGTGGAAGGAATTTGATGGGGCTCGCCAGTGCACCGCCGGGGCGACAGGCGCAGGGCCCGTCGGGCTGGAGCCCCTCGCTGCGCGCTCGCAGTGAGTTCTGAGCGTTTGCTGGAGGTTACGAGGGCGCCAGCGCAGCGATTGTCAACGCCCTCACTGGCGGAGGCGCTGAGGTACGCCGAGGTACACTGAGCTGGGCATGGGGGCGTACATGATGCACAGCAGGGATCCAAGGAGTCAAGGCATGGCGTTGTGTTGAATGACAGGGTGGGTCCAACCATCGGGGGGATCACTCTTCGTGTTAGCGTTCACACGAGCAGTCAGCAACATGGGAACGCACAGATCTTGAGCTCGTTATGATCGGTAGACTCTTTGTCACAAAGGTAAACCAATGTTTACCAGCGCTGAACACGTAACGTGCCCCTCCTGTGGTAGAATAACACGGGCCTAGCACTTAACGGTGCGGTGCGCAACACAGTGTTGCCAGTGACTGGCCAAGGCGGAGTCGCTAGTACCGAACTGCGGTCGGTACATGTACGGAAGTGATGCACAATAATTGGTTCATTGTGTGGTCTTAAGCCGCGTGTTGGGTGGCTGCTGGCGTTGGCGGGGGTGCGAGCCATGGCCCCCCTTTGCAGAAACCCAACCTTAGCTATTGTTGAATCCTACCATGTCGCCGTTGTGAGCATTCAAAGAGAACAACTGGAACTGGAATAGCTTACTGCCCCTAAAAGAGATGGACCAGCTGGAGTACCTGTCCGCAATAGTGGAACTTTAGCCTGAGGGCTTGGCTGCAAAGCGCGTGTGTTAGGTATGGCATGGTGGAGTGTGTGGTGGGATAGTTGTTGACAACTCGGCCTGCCCCCCGCTGGCTAGTACATTAGCGCTTTAATGCAAATCCATTACATTTCCCCTCTACACTAGTTGGCTGCTATATCATCTCGGCCTCTTTTCCTTTGCTCCTCGCCTCGCCTCTTTCCTCTCGCCTAGAGGTGGCCCCTT